AATAAGAATGTCAGTGATGTCAGTGGCTAGGGGGGGGAGTACCCCGGGTGAGACTTACTATTGAACTATCAATTTTATCCAGATCAGAAAATGTTTGTTTTGTTATTTGCATGTACAATGAGAGAGTGCTTGCCAATGGCCAACTAAATGGATATTTGAGGTGAATTTGCATTGTGAGACCCGGTTAAGTAAGCCCCAAAATTAAGCGATTTTACACTTTTTTAATACAATCTATGGATCTGTAGATATTAGTAATACTACTCATGGATCTGTAGATGTTAGTAATGTATGACAATCGCTTCTTTGATTTTAAAGAACATAAACATAACATACGTGAAAATTAAAAATAATCATACAGAAAGTTTGAAGCTTTTTGGTTTTACCTTATTAAGTAATTGTTATCAGGTAGTAATTGTAAATTTTGAAGTTTAACTTGACATAATGTCATTTTAACAGAACGTCAACAGCTTTCGTAGACGTAGCTGTTAAAAAAACTAAAATGTTCTCGAATAGCTGCATTTAGATATTTTAAATATATTTTTTTCTTTGTTCTTAGTGTTCTTTTTTGCTTCCGACGACGGAGAGATATACTTTCCAAAACGTTAAGCATTTTTTTGTCCGTTTGGCAAATTTGTTTAATAGTAAACCACTGCTAGATTAGTCTCCGTTGGATTAAGCAGCAGTGTTTACAAAAAATAACTATTTTATTCTGTAGGTTTTTTTTTCAGATGAATCTGCCACAGAGGTATATACATTTTTTAATAATCAACATTTCTTCTCTTCCTTTTGATTTTTTATTCCCAATTTAGAAAATAAATTTATTATAAAATGCTTTTAAACTTTAACCTATTTACAAAAGCATTTATTTTTATGTAATTATCAAAACAATTTAAACGTTGAATTATCGGAAACAAAAGTTTATTAAAATATTCGATTTGTTCTAGCGTTTCGCCGCTATATATCGACAAAATTGAAAATATTTTATACCCATTGTAACCACTGAGCTGTACGTATAGCAACAATATAATGATTTTCGTATTTGGTATAACATATAGGTTTTATTGTTTGTATTTTATTTTCAAAAAGATAGAGTTTGTGAATTTGATATTGTCGTACTTTTTGTACTGCGTAACAACGTTTATTTATAAAATAAAAATATTTTTTATCAATATTCAAGAATTTTTTCCTGCAGGATTTCCAAAAATAGTAAAAAAATAGGTGTAAAAAACATTATATAAATAATAATAATAATAGCTCCCGTATATAGCGTTTAACGCTTTGGGAGTAGCAAGGTGCAGCTTACAAGGTAAAAGGAAGGTAATGTGGCTAGTACTAGGCTTCAACCGCCTATTATTACCTCAGGATTGTGAACCTCAAGTACTCATTTAAGGCTGAGTCGACCTAGGTACCTAAACTATTTTTATTTTAATAAAAATAGTTAGCTGATGAAATGCCGGCTGTAGGATTCGAACCTACAACCTTTAGATTGGTAGACGAGAGCTGTATCTCTACGCCACCATGCACATACACCACCGGGCACCACAAAAAACATTAAATGTATGAATTGTAAGGTTTTACCTCAATTATCAAAAAATAAAATATAAATATATACTACATTTATTGTGAGTTGATTAATGATAGCTTAATTAACTAGTATTAACTTTTGCGACGTGATTGACAATATAAAAAAGTCATTTTAATGCCTATGCAAAAAAGTAAAGCACTTTTACGCCTACGTATAAAAGTGTAAAAACTCAAATAATAATAATTATTATTTACATGGTATTATTTTTAAATATTTTAATCTACGACAATGTCATTATGACACATTTAACATTGACATTTGGATGTCATTATGGCTTTCATAATAGCACTAGTGCTATTATGAAAGCTTTCTTGGATCTTCGCACCATTTCTACCATATTTAATTCCTTCAACATTCCTTTTCGTTATAAAAAATCTCGTGATATCTTTGTTTTCGTAAATGGAATAACGACATGAATGCATTGTCTTAACATTTCTTCATCTTTAACATTTTGCAGCTGCAGATTTGTCAACTCGATACGCCGGCAGATTCCCGTAAGTCCCAATATCAATGAAACTTTTGTCAGGAAATAAGTTTTATCATCGGCTTCCAACAAAAAACGAGTTATGTCTTCTTTTCTTAAAATTCTCGATTTTTTTGACCGAAATCTTTCCGATTTTCTTTTTAGAAATGCAATTAAATGGACATACTTACTAATATCTGTATTTTTCCTCACTGATATAACTGAACGTAGCATGGAATAATATACCCAAAGTGATGAAGCCTTCCTGTTTTGAAAGATGTTGAAAATATGCCAGGAGAACCTTTTCATTACTACTATTCTAGATTCCTTTCCCTTTACACCAATCTTCAAGTTTTACATAGGCTTGCTCGTACGTTTGTCTTGATTTTTCGGAAAGTAGGGAATCGACAACGTTTTGCGCAATGCCTTCAATATCTGAAGGTACACTTTCAGAATCAGAATCACCCATATTAATATTATTTTTTGCTTTTTGCTAAAACTGAACGTTTAACACAAAATTGAACATCAATAATTGAGTTGTCAAAGTCAAAATGGAAACAATCAACAAGCACGGTTACCACGGCGTCCACTAATATGGGCACCTGATAATTTTGAATTTTAATTTTAATTTTGAATATCTCTGATATTTTAAATTAAATCAAATCTCTTTGGATCGTCCCTTGTGTCGCATCGTAGATTAAATTTTGATTGATACACGTTCGATACGAACTTTTTAATGAAACTTGTGTAACTATCGGTAAGTTTTCGAATAAATGCATTGCGACTTCGTTCAAAGCGATAGTTTGCTCATGTTGGTCAAAGTCAACGATATCGCGGTACAAAGATGGCGGAAAAATAATGTTTTATTTTATCTTGAAAACGAAAAGAGATAGACTAATAAAATTTTATGGAAGCATTACTGTTACGAAAACACACTTTCTGGTAATTTTTTCACTTTTTTAAAATGAGTGGAAGGGGTTGAAATAAACTACCCCTATCATTCTTGTTAACGAAATTTAAAGAAAAATCTTATCAAACACATACAAAAAAATTAATTTGGATAGTTTAGCTTGTTTAGAAACTTTTTTATCTCTTGTATTTTTTTGATAAAACTCACCGTTTTGAAATTAAAAAATAAAATGTAAAGCATTACATGCCAGGACAAAAAACATTTTCTGATAAAGAATCTGGTGGGCTGCTGTAATTTTTTTAGGAAAAAATCTAGTCGGCCGCTGTTACTTTTTAGGATGTTCCTAATATTATTTTATTTGACATTACTCTACTGCAATACGTTATTATCTAGATGATTATTATTATCGTTATTATCACTAGATTCTTAATCTAAAAATGTTTTTTATCCTGACATGTAATGCTTTACATTTTATTTTTTAATTTCCAATCGGTGAGTTTTATCAAAAAAACACAAGAGGTAAAAAAGTTTCTAAACAAACTAAACTATCCAAATTAATTTTTTTGCAGTTTGATAAGATTTTTCTTTAAATTTTGTTAACAAGAATGATAGGGGTAGTTTATTTCAACCCCTTCCACTCATTTTAAAAATGTGAAAAAATTACCAGAAAGTGTGTATTCATAACAGTAATGCTTTCATAAAATTTCATTAGTCTATCTCTTTTCGTTTTCAAGATAAAAAATAAAAACATTTTTCCGCCATCTTTGTACCGCGATATCTCCCTAATGGTTGACTTTTGACCCAACGTTTATAAAGCAAACTACCCTTTATTTTGAACAAGGAATCACCCCCTAAAGTTTTTCGCATTTGTTTTGAAACACCCTGTATAATAACTTGTGTAACTAAAGACGGGTTCTCACTTGTCAGTTTCGCTGACGCAGTCTGACTGATTCAGTGATACTGAATAAACAATGAACGTCAGGACACATTTTCATGTTAAATGATCAGTACAGTCGTACTTTCAGTTAAAGTGAAAACCAGTTCTACTTTTTTTCATTTTGACTGATCATTATCGAATAATGAATAGAAACTGAAGCGTGAGAACTACATTTTCGTGATTTGTGCAGTTTACAAGTTAAGTTAATTAATTCTTTTAATATAGTTTCACTATAGCACCCCGTTTATTTCTTCGCAATATCCAGGACCTGACCACCTACGACGTTTTTTTTTTCTTTTCTGATTCACCAGAATATTCTGTAATTCATTTGCTAATTGTAAACAAACTTCGCGAACACCTGGTTTCAATTTTGTTTTAACCATTTTCATGTCTATACGAAATCACCACATTAGAATGTTTGGACCAACTGAATACTGAATGTAGCAAAACATAAAACGTGTGAATACAATCGTTGTTTTTTATTTTTCATTGATAATGAATCAGTCAGACTGCGTCAGCGAAACTGACAAGTGAGAACCCGCCTTAATATAACGTTACACGCGTTTCATTATGATGTTCGTACCAAACTTGTATCATTAATAACTATCAGGTTACTTGAAACGTCTGTAATGACTTAAAAAATGATTTGTTCTGTTAAAATAATAGCACATGTTCTATTAGGAGTAAAAATGACTTTTTGTGCCTTGCCTGTATGACTTTTTGTGCCTTGCCTGTATGACTTTTTGTGCCTTGCCTGTATGACTTTTTGTGCCTTGCCTGTATGACTTTTTGTGCCTTGCCTGTATGACTTTTTGTGCCTTGCCTGTATGACTTTTTGTGCCTTGCCTGTATGACTTTTTGTGCCTTGCCTGTATGACTTTTTGTGCCTTGCCTGTATGACTTTTTGTGCCTTGCCTGTCAAACCTACAACCTCGCCACAAAAGTATCATTTTTACTCCAAATAAAACAATTTACTATTTCTATGATAACTTGCCTTTTACGCTCAAGCAACACGTTTTAAATGCCGACCATTATAAATACTACTATTATAAGATTCTTATCCGTATAATATTTTTAAGAAAAACAATAAATATGCCATACTTACTGACTAACGTGACGTAGGGTACGTTGGTTCTGTTAAAATAAGAGGGCGTACATGCATCTTCGGGTCTTTTAGCTTGGAGTCCCAGCTGCAGTTCGGCAACATGGCCATCTCTTCTGTAGAAGGACATACAAGTAAACCCGCTCTGGCTAAAATTAAAAAAAAACGTTATAAACTAAAATTACGGTAAGTTAACACTTTCTATGTCAAATTACATTGTAAGCTGAACTAAATTACACTCTAAGTATTGTTTTTAACACTTTTTAACACTGTAATTTGACATAGAAAGAAGTGTACTAGATAAATACCAAAAATTTATAAAAATGCTATATATGGAATAAATATAAAATTAACCAACTTAAACTCCAACACCCTTAATTAAGGGAACATGGTACACATAAAATTTTAAAGGATGTTGCACGCTATAAATGTTACAATGTATTTTAACATAGGTATAGAAAATGTCGCTCATATACGCATATATTGTGTAAAGTTTTATGTCTGAAACATTTTGCTACATATGATAATATTTTACTATCTTATATATTTTGATATAAAATATGTATTTCGTTAGTGTCTTTTTTTAATATCTGAAACATTTTGCTACATAGGATAATATTTAAATTAATCTTATATTTCAGATCATAATCTTCACCACATACGACATACACTTTTGAATATTGTAGCTAAACGATTCAATTTTTACAAATTGCTTAAGTTTTGGGTTCGTTAAGGACTATTAGAGGTACAATTTAAAAATAATTTTACAAGATACAGAGTGTTCCAAATAAGTAAAAAATATCAAAGTTGTATTTTTTTAAATGGAACACCCTGTATATTATTACATTTTTAGTTTCTACGATTAAAATAAAGGTAAATTTGATTAAGGTTTATTATACTTAAACCTTTCCGTTTTTGAAATATTTTCAATTTTGTGAAATTGCAGTAAAAATTTTAAGGCTTCATTTCTCCAAGGGTATCAAAGTTTTTAATACTAAATATTTACTGGTTTATTTACTGATCAGTTATTGTGTTGCAATAATAAAAATAATACTACCTTATACAGAGTGTCTAAAAATTTATTTTAAATAATTATTAGCTTCAAACGGTAATAACTTGTTTAATTTAAATAGACTGTATATTTTACGAGAATCAGATGCACAATTTAATTGTCTATCAAATTATATTATACCATTTTTTACCTATCTGTTTAAGTTTCCGTAGAAAATGCATTTTCTTGTAATTTAGAACTTATTTATCAATATACCCATGGACTATTGACATTTTAGATTATTTTTAAAGATGTACCAAATTTTTAAAGAGTACAGATACTAATATTGTCGATATAATTCGTTTATTTCATTGAAAAATAAAAAAAAACTGTTTAAATATTTGTTAAAGAGGATCAATTAATATGATTCCAGTATTCAAACTACATTAACTGACTGTTTGCGTTGATTAATAATAATTGCTCCAAATACTAAAAAACTGAATTTTGTATGGGCATTAGACAGTGTGATAAAAAGTAACATCTTAAAAATGATATTTCATTTTTTAATAAATGCTTATTTATAACAACAAAGGCTTTAATTTGATAACTTATTATTATATTGATTTCTGACTCAAAAATCCACATTTATTTATAATAATTTATTAGCGAACACAATTAAGTATGTCATTAATTAGTATATGGGCGGAAATAATGGTGTTATATTTAATTAATGGTATACCCTTTTATAAAGATTTAAATAGTTTTCTTTTTGCATACAAATGGGCTAGTAATATTATCGTTTTGCTAAAAACGATAATATTACTAGTCTGTACATTTTGTACATTTGTTGCTTTAAAAACAATCTAAAATGTCAATATTCCATAGATATATTGATAAATGAGGTCTAATTTAGAAGAAAATGCATTTTCTACGAAAACTTGAAGGGATAGGTAAAAAATGGTATAATACAATTTGATAGACAATTTAATTGTGCATCTGATTCTCCTAAAATATATAGGGCATTCCATTTAAATTAAAGAAGTTATTGCCGTTTGAAGCTAATAATTATTTAAAATAAATTTTTAGACACTGTGTATAAGGTACTATTATTTTTATTATTGCAACACAATAACTGATCAATAAATAAACTTCATTAAATATTTAGTATTAAAAACATTGATACCCTTGGAGAAATGAAGCTTTAAAATTTTGACTACAATTTCACAAAATTGAAAATATTTCAAAAACGGTAAAGTTTAAGTATAATAAACCTTAATCAAATTTACCTTTATTTTAATCGTAGAAACTAAAAATGTAATAATATACAGGGTGTTCCATTTAAAAAAATACAACTTTAATATTTTTTATTTATTTGAGACACTCTGTATCTTGTAAAAATATTTTTAAATTGTAGCTCTAATAGTCCTTCAACGAACCCCAAACTTACAATTTGTAAAAATATCATCGTTTAGCCACAATACTCCGTGTCGTATGTGGTGAACAACCCTGTATATGTATATATATATATATTGTTTTCCACATACGATATCTCTCTCTCTATATACCTGTATATTGGATATAAAATATGTATTTCGTTAGTGTCTTTTTAATTTAATTTATCAAACATTGCATATTTGAATATGTTTAAATTAATTTCATATTTCAGATCACACTTCTATATAATAACGAATAAAGAAAATATAGTCTAATTAGCTATAAAATATTTATATTAAAATCATTGGATATCATAATTTAAAAAAATATTTTTTTTCGTAGCAACTGTTAAAATTGCCTTATATCTATCAAAAATAGTAGATAAAATAATACTTTAACCGCAAAGGTAGACTAAATAAAACTGTTTAAACAAGCGCTCAGTGAAACAGAAGAAGGAATAAAGATCAATGGAGAAACCATCAATAATTTAAGGTACGCGGACGATACAGTTCTCATAGCAGATAGTGCTGAGGATTGCAGAAATTATAGACCGAGTAGTAGAGGCATGTGATATGTATGGTATGAGGCTTAACTGCAAGAAGACCAAAATTCTAGTAGTTAGTAAAAATTATGAGGCGCAGTACCACCAGTGTAGGGCGAATAACGAAACCTTAGAAACAGCAGATACATTCATGTATTTGGGCTGCAGCTTGAACAAGGAATGGGATCACTCACGAGAGATCAGATGCCGCATAGAAAAAGCCAGAACCGTTTTAACCGTCTTAGAAAAATCCTATGCAATATGCACCTGAATATTGCTATAAGAACACAGGTGCTAAGGTGCTACGTATTGTCCACGCTCCTATATGGAGTGGAAGCTTGGACCCTGACAGATGCTACATCTAGACGCTTGGAAGCCTTTGAAATGTGGTGCTATCGCCGCATGCTCAGGATCTCATACGCTTACCATGTCACAAACAACACCGTGATCCAGAGAATGCAAAAGGAACTAGAAATACCTTACCTTGGGCATGTGATGTGTAATGATAAATAACAACTTATCCAACTGATACCGCAGGGCAAAATAGATAGTAGAAGAGGTCAGGGACGCCGACGAACATCATGGATGAAAAATATTAGATAGTGGACAGGAATGACGACCGTACATCTAATCAGGGCGGCTGTCAATAGGATTATGTGGACCAACATGATTGCCAACATCCATAGAGGATAGGTACTGAAAGAAGAAGTAGATTAAATGATACTTTAACAGCGAGGATAGGTTAAAAACTTTATTTCTTCTCTCACGTTTTTTAATTGCTTCCATTTCTGAAAATTTCTGAAAGTTATTTGGGATTTAAAGGGAAGTAGTTTGGATATGGCGTGTGTCACCTCAGCCTGAATATCTGTTGGTAATTTACTTATCTCGTTTTGAGCCATTTCTGGCTCTAACTCAATCAGCAATTGACACGAAAGAGAATTAAAAAATATTGACTCAAAACTGACAACTAAAGAGACAGCTTTATTTATTTGTCAAATTACATAGAAACCAACGCCAACCCAGCACAATATTTTTCTACTCGTAATAAATTCCTTGAAATAATAATTTTTGAATATTTTTTAAAACGTAACTACTATAAAATGGTATTTTATCGTCTTGTATAAAAAATAACTACATATTAAATTTTCGAAGTTTTAAAATCATTTAATTTGCTTAAAACTACAATAATACTATCCTCACTGAAATGGAATGTTTAAACAGGCAAATATTCCGGTTTATAATAAACTCTACTTTCTAATATCGTTGATGTTTCATTGAACCGAATAAAGCTCTTTTGATCCGTCCTCCCGATCCTTCCCATTTAGTGACGGTTCCCGTCGGACTGCCAAAGAAAACCCAAACACAATGTCGAAAAGCAGATTTCGTATGTTGAAAGCCCCAACGTCTTTCTTCCTTCATCCTTCTCCGCTCTTCTGGTTTCCTTGGTCCGCGTTTATCCTTAATAAGACCACGTTATATACGTTTTATTCTCTGCTCAGTTTGTTTGTGTGGTCCTCACCGGTTAGGAGAAGTTAATACTTTCCATATGTTTGTATTTCTAAGATTCTTCTTTTATTATTATTTCTCTGTCTGAGATTTACAAATTTTGCAATGGTAAATATTTAATAAAATAAATATTTATATTCTACCTAAAAGTAGAACGAGTTATTTATAAAGATACCTGAATTATACTCTACAGGGTGTCAAAAAAATAGAGTATCAAACTTAGTAGTTTCAGTTTGGATTAAAAGTCTATTACGCTGTACTGTTCGGGTCGCTCTCAGGGGTCGGTTAAAGCGGGTATGTGGCCACATTTCCCAAGTAGCATTTTCACGACTTGCGACCACATGTTTACTAAACACAACGTTGGATTAGTTACAAAAAATAGTTAGCTCCGTACCTTGGGTATTAAAATAAATGTAAACGTTGTTGTGACGTTGTGCCGACGTTGAACTAGTTCTACAACAAAGTAAAAGCTTCTGCGACGTCGAATAAACGTTGTCTTGTAACCTTTTTTTGCTTAAGTGATTTTTAGGTGATTCGCGCGGACAACGTAGTTACAATGTTGGGCAATAAAGAGTTTTCTGACGTCACTTTCAGGACCTATTCCAACGTTATGCAAACGTCGTCTGTTTTACTAATTCCAACGTTGTTTAGATTTCCTTATTCTTTCGTTGGTAGGA